TTGGGGGGGGGGGGGTTACTATTCCTTTAACAATAACATTGCTGGCAGTGATTAACAACTTAAAATTAATTTGGAAATTTTTTAGTAAATGATAACAGAACTTTCAATTTTGAATGACCAACAAGTTCAACATAAACCACAAACTTTTTTGGTATACCAATAACTTCATCAGGTGACCACCTCAAGTGCTTTATATCTAGAAAAGAAAAGAAAAAAACAGTGAAGGTGCAACCAAGAGGAATGTTTTCATAAACATACCAGAGTTTTCACAGTTCCAGGAATTTGACTTTGGGATTTAATTAACGCTACTCTCAAGACCAGCTTGATCATGGTGGAAGACAAATGCTGACAACTGGAAGCTGTGGCATACAGCAAGAGATATCACCAGCAACTTCAAGGACTTCATGGGTTGAAATTAAAAAAATCGGCAATGCTAATGCCTATCCTATCTTACACAAATCTAATACAGCCTATATAAATGCTGTTGACTCCAGCTCTGTGTGTTTTCAATGCATCTTCATGAGGATTATCTGGGTAAAACAGCATAAGAAACAGCATGACATTGTGCTGAGTTGAAGGTGACTCTTCCATTCAAAGAATCTCAATCCGTAATGATCCAGCTGGAGGTTTTTTAAGTGGAGTGGAGATCTATATTGCACAGTGAGCGTACGGGTCCTCAAACACAGGCTGCTCTTCGACGCCTCTCGCAAACAGCTTGATCAACTGGCAGTGGACCCTAAGACAGAGAAAGAAAAAAAATCTAACAAAATGCTAACACTTCACTGGAACAAACAGCATGCTAAAAACCACCCTAGGCTTACTGAAAAAAACACGTCGTGTGTGCACTGATAAAAATGATTATGTGGTGAAGTAAATACTACAGAAAAAACGTAAATGTAATTTCTACATGAAGAAGTTAGTTCAGGCAAAAAAAAAAAAAAAAAATCTTCTCACCGTTTCTGATACTGGTCCCATCATGCACTGGGGCATGAATGATTAATAAAGCAGATTTTTTCCCCGTTTTCCGGCTGTATTTAGACTTTTTTATCATTGCTTTTATTGTTAGGCTTAGTAACTTTCTTTACATCTGGAGTTCATTTTCGACTCAAAATGACACATTCATACTCAAAAATGAACCAACAAATGTCAGCATCATTGTGTATTGTGTACCTAACTATTGAAGTCTCTGTGTCTGGATGAGTGCCGCACTACTAATTATATAGAGATATCTACATGATATCTATTGTATTATTTACTTAGATGTTTCTATGTAGCATACACTTCAACAGCATGGTTTAATTAGTAAAAATTAGTCAGACTTTTACTGGCCAAGCCAAAGTTACTTATTTTCTTTGTTAAATTTACTTAACTTAGGTAAGTAGATTTTACTTAATTTTATATGTGAAATTATATATAATTATGTAATATTTACTTAATTTCTTTATGAATGTTAAAGTTCAATAGTAAGTAGACTGTACAGAGCAGTAGCAGTAAAATTTACTTAAAATGTGTTAGTGCAAATTGTTACGAAATTTGTTTTTCAGTGTGGCAACATTTCTGCAAAATAATATCATGTTATGTTTTTGTATCTTTCACAACACTTTCAAAGTGAAATGTCCAATGAGAGTTGCTGAAAGTGTGTTCAGTTTGATCTGAAACAGATGAACATGAATCTGGTGAGGATTTATTACGTTGCGGCAGTTAATGGATATTGCGTTTGAAAATAATGTACCACCTGCACTCAACCCTACCCTAAATCTAACCCATAGTCTTAACATAAGCAAACATGATGCCATTTCAAACGCAATATCCAATTAACTTTATTGTGACTAGGGATACGTGCTTGTTTAGGTCAGAGTGCGCACGCATCTTTCATGCAGCATACGGCGGTGTTGTGCATTTTGACCAGTTGATGGGAAAATTATTCTTAAAATGCATTCAAAATTCTGAATAATTTGTAATATATAATTATTCACGGTATTTAGAAGTGCCCACGATAACAATATCGTGCATATTCATTACGGTGATATATCGCATTACCGAATACCGGCACAAGTCTAATTGTGACTCATGGAACTCGTACCAGAGCGCTCCACATAACAAGTGCAATGCTATACCAGGTGAGCTACTGAGCAAGTTTACTATGTTTACTACTAATATTTGAACTGAACTGAGCTGGATGATGACATCACTGAATCAATGACGAACTGACTTTAACTGTAAATTAAGTGTTTACTTTTGCATTGACACACTATTTTCCCGTTTAATACTGTAAAGCTGCTTTGACATAATCTGTATTGTTAAAAGCGCTATGTAAACAAAGGTGACTTGACTTGACTGTCAGAAAAGCCATATGAGCTGGTTATGTAATTCAAATGTGATATTGTATTTGTTTTGAGATCATAACATGGTATTGTGCAAGGTACCTTTATTAAGTGATAATCTTCCCCTGTAATAGTGTTCAATTCAGCTAGAAACTGCAGGGAATTGTATGTATAGGTAAGTTTTTGGAGTTATGCAAAAATGTAGAATGAGGCATGTTTTTCCAATGAGCCTGCTCTGATTAAATATACATACTCTAATATTGTTTATTTGCTTATGACGATGCTAAAAATAACATTATTTTGTGTATTTGGTGTAATGCAAATTGTTTATGCGGTTTAAGGTTCAAAAACCACATTATTTCTGAATGCGTCGCCTTTCTGAAACGCGTCGATATTTACAAAGCTCATCATTCTGAAAAGCGCGGTGTGCTCTGATTGGCCAGCTATTCAGTGCATTGTGATTGGCCAAATACCTCAAGCGAATGACTGAAATGTTACGCCCCTTACCATATTTGGAAACACACAAGCGTCTCCACGACATGGCGGCGGCAGCAACAATACTACAGCGAGAATAAAAGTTATGCCTTTTCTTTGCGTAAACATTTGGGTGGTGTTATGCAAATCTTCCAACACAGTGACATAGATATGTGGGGGCGTGTTTGAATGAGGCATTTTAGGAAGGCATGGACGAGTCTTAACTTTTATAAAGAATATTTTCTTTGGGTTTGAGACTTTAGTCTTTGCAACTTTACGGATCTTATATGTACAAATGGCTTGTAACACTCCAAGGACAAAGGAAAACTTGAAATAGCATCGTATGACCCCTTTAATATTTCAATATAAGTGTAATATTTAAGTATAGTGGTTTGTTTAAATCCCCAACCCAAACGATTTGCAATAGTAACTCTTATGCTTGCCTTAGCAAACACCACTAATGCGTTGTGTCCTAGACTAAAACAAAGTACAAGTAAGTGCTGGTAAGCAATAAATGCTATGTCGTGTTGAGTAAAAAGTTTTGTAGTTAAATGCATGCACTCTTTGGAGGTTCGGGGGCTCTTTAATTTCCTCTAATTCCACTCAATACTCTGGAGGTGAGTTCAGTGCCAGGCGATTGCCTCTTTCGGCCGTGGTATCATTATCAATTATCTCAACAGGTTATTTGCTTACTCATTCGAGAAACAATTACTGAAGCTGAAAATGGAATAAATGAATGGACTTCTATTTTAATTAAAGGAGGTGAGCCTTTAACAGTGAGAGGGCCATTAAATTAGGAGCATTTCATTGCTACGCATTGTTGACACAGAACAATGTGGCATGAAGGAAATGATGCATTTGGGCGAGCCGTCATGCTGTATCAAGGAGGAGAACAACTCCTCTGCAGGCACAATGGAGGGAGTTTTTAATTTTAATAGCATCTTTTCCACAGGCTCAGGCCACAAAAGTCCATTTATTTACCCTGTTTAGTATGCTAGTGCTGAGATGATACAATCTTGTGCTCAAAAGACCTCAACATTTCAACTACAGCTTCCACTAATTGACAAACGCTTTAGTGAAGCCTGCTCATTTTGTGTCGGAGGAACATTTTCTGAAGCTGAAAACTATTCATATAAGGTCTAAAAGAGACAGTGACATCTCTTAGATATATGAGGAAGTCTGAGTGTGAGTGGCAGTGATGTCCACACTCCTTAATTACAACAACAATGAGGACTTGCTTGAGGTAATTAGAGTATTAAAACTGTAAATGGCCCACTTTTTCCTTTCTGAAACATGACGCAGTGTAACAGTTCTCATTTTCACTACATGCATCTTTTAAATTCATCATTTTTCATAATTTGTAGAGTGGGCATTATCACTCAAGTGAAGTATCTAGATATAGCATTTCTGCAACTCGAACAGTAGAGTAATGGGTTCACTTTCACCGAGTCCAATACATGAACTCAAAAACTGAAATCGCAAACACAGAGGGCGTATCTGGATAAGGACACATACCGGACTTGAATGGCAGTGTGTGGGAGGATCTCTCCATCACAGTTCCAGTTGCTCTGGGAAGGCATGCAGCCACAGGCTCTGTGCTCCCTGCAGATCTGACTAAGGAATCGCTTGCCTGTCGCTCCGCTTTCTCTTAGGTCCACTTCAGAATCACACTCCTGATATCTGGGGGTGAATCGGAACTGCTTGACCCGGTACACCTCCACAAAAGAGTGATCAAACTGAACAAAGAAAGAGAACAAGGGTAATGCTTACTGAATCTCACGTCAAATATAATTAAATATAATTCAAAAACGCTTTAGAATCGCTTTAGAGTAGGGCCGAGTACCAAAACAAACTTGTAGCCAATCAGCAGTAAGGGGCGTGTCTACTCATGATGGGGACGAGAGAGCACTCAGTGCACAAGACGGACATTAGCCGAGCCGAGCGACAGAAAGATTGAGATGGTGGATAAAAAAACAAAAGAGGAAAACGTCTGTGGAACAAAAGAAGGCTTACGATAAGGCAAGAAGTAGGACTCGTGTAAATATCGGATCAGCTTTCAAGCGCTGGAGAGAACTCAAGAAGCTGATGACATCATACCCTCGGCCGGCTGGCACAGCAGATTCCGCCATAATCGTTGCCTGGGTTGCGTACGTATGTGTGGGGCGGAGCTATCAAAATAGGGGCGAGACCCTTTTGGGGTAGGGGTGTGTTTGTTTTGGTGATCTGAAATATCAACATTGGCTACAAGAAATCACTTACCCCACCTTTAAACGTTAAGTGTACTTTTTTTTTTTTGAAAGACAAATTAATACTTTTATTTAACAAGTTACAAAATAGTTCTATTTCAAATAAATATTGTTCTTTTGAACATTCTATTCATCACAGAATCTGGAAAGAAACAGTAGCACGGTTTCCACAAAAAGCAGCACAACCATTTTCAACTGAATGAAATAATGAATGAATGTTTCTTAAGCACAAAATCAGCATATTAGAATGATTTCTGAAGGATCATGTGACACAAAGACTGCTGAAAATTCAATATATTAGAATATATATAAAACTAGAATATATTACTAAATTATATTACAACAGAAAATAGTTATTATAAATGTAATAATAATTCACAATATTACTCTTTTTACTGTATTTTTCATAAAAAAAATAAGCCCATGGTGAGGATAAATTTTTAGATTCATAATACCATAGTGTGGGGTGGGGTGTTAGTTCGTTTGAGTTTCCCTCTTTTCTTCGCTTTCAAATGGCTTGTAAAAGTGCCGTGCGCATTTTATTTTCACTTTCAAATTAGCGGCAATTTAATTGCCTCAATTCGGCGTCAAGCAATTGTTCGTTTGAGTTTTTCCTCGGATTTCTTGGCTTTCAAATAGCTTGAAAAAGCGCTGTGCGCATTTTACTTTCACTTTCAAATTAGCAGCAATTGGGCGTTGATTCAATTCAAGCAACAACAACGTCAAACTCATACTTTTATTAAGTATTTTATTTATTTAGTACGAACTTTTATTAACAAAACGAATAAAAATACACCATATATGCCTAATAAAATAACAAATTACTTAGGCTACACAAAGTTTAAATAGGTATATAAAACTGAAAATCAGCAAACACTGTGGAACCAAATAAATAAGAAACGAATGTTTAAAAAAACTTCCAGTCAATAGGCTTTTCAAAATTTTAAATATTGCCAAACAGGCGCCTTCGCATTTCCTTTCTAAACAATCTTATGTCATCGTCTTTCTCACCTCACTCTTGTCAGTCAGCTCGACTCACTCTCCTCACGTGATAAATAAAATCTGACTCCTGCTCCGTGGTGCACTGTCGTTCGCGCACGGTTCGGCACGCTGCATTGAGCGTTTAGTTTTTAAAAGTGTCTGTCCTCACTGAACTAGGCTAAATGATTTTTGTTACTATAAAAAAAATAAAAACGATGGTGGGGGGGCGGTGCCGCGGTAGGCAAATGACGTAACCGGTGTTGCGGCTTAACACCAGTATAACCGAAAATACCGTCTATCGCAGCAAGCCTATTAAGCATTAAAAAAAATAGACAAATTGCCATGACTTTCAAGGTTCTCTATGACTGTAACCCTGCTGTTACTAAGAACTTCAAAGAACATAATTATCAGCTCTTTTTCCAAGAAAAAACTCCCAAAACTTACAGTTTATTAAATATACATATGAATTTATACTAATATAAAATATAGAGTAAGCATTTGGTGGACACTGGACAGCGGGGATACTTTTTTGAAGTGTGCCAGTTAAGAAAGTGGCGTTTTTTCCCAGCCTTTGATGAAACATGAATGGAATTGCTTCATGGCTTTCATTAAAAAATATCATGTTAAATCTACTGATGTTTTCTGTTGAGATAAATCAGGAACCTGGTCGTCCTTATTGGTGTGGCGCAGCAGGTGGCGCAGGAAGTCGAGTCGGGAGCACTTCCTGACGAGGATGAGGTCAGTAGTACCATCTGCTAAGTGCGCTGACGGCGACAGGCCTTTAGGACTGCGAGGACACGCACAACTCATGCTGGCAGCATTGATGGCCAAGAACTTTCCCCTGATGACCGTCCACGTATCCTGACACTCTGAAATACAACAACATCATGTGAATACTAGTATACCTCTGAGCAGTGAAGTCTATAGACCCTTTTCACAGACTTTGATGCGTTTCCAGTAGGCAACTACCAAGAACACCCTAAACATCTCAGAACCTGGTTTCTCCCAAGGTTTTTTTGGTTACACTTTATTTTGATTGTCCACTTTTGACATTCTACTAACTAAGTAACTTTGCAACTACATGTCTACTAACTCTCAGAGTAGACTGTTAGGTTAGGTTTAGGGTTAGTAGAATAAGTTGACATACACTTGCAAAGTTTCTCATAGTCGGTATGTTGCATGTTGTGGATCCATCAAAATAAAGTGTTAGAAGATATTAAGCAGACAGTCTACTAACACTCTAATGACTGCTAGTTGACATGTAGTTGCAAAGTAACTTACTGTTAGTAGAATGTCTAAAGCGGACTATCAAAATAAAGTGTTACCATTTTTTTTTCTCCATTTCTGTCACCGATGGAGTTCAGGTATTTTGTCACTGTCGCCTCTGGTTTGGTTAGTTGGGGGCACCTAATATCCAGCAATATTATTGAATCAACTGACACGATTGGATGATAACTGAACTGAATGCTGACATTACTGTTTTTTACAGAGCTGCTTTATAGCTGAATTGAACTCGGTTCATAATTGATGTTCTTGAAGGGAACTGAATCACCACTAGACTGACCTCAGCTGAAAAGTGACACTATTGTTTTTTACAGCTCCTTTACAGCAGAATTGATCACTGAACCATTATTTCCCTGTTTATCCCTGTAAAGCTGCTTTGAAACAATCTGCATTGTATAAAGTGCTATACAAATAAATGACTTGACTTCAAATTAGAAATCAGGTTTGCACATAATTCCAAAAATGCAAAAATCTTCACTGAATTTTTTTTACTTTGAGATAATTTTCACTCAGTAAATTCACAAATAATTACACAGAAAGGATGAGCAACATTGAGTTAAACAACATTTTGAAGTGAAAGACGAAATACTGAAAGAGTAGTTTCTTGTTGTAAAATTTCACAAATAATTACACAGAAAGGGCAAGTAACATTGACAGGGTTTCTGCAGGATTTTTAAGCTCAAATTTAAGACCTTTTTAAGACCTGCACAAATAAAATTAATACCATATGAGCGGGTTAGGGCAATGTCTATAGTTCCATATTAAACTGTAAAATTACTGTAAAAAGCATAACTTACAGTTCAGATACAAGTTTTCACAAAAACAAAAAGTTTTATAAAATGATCAACTTTACATTTCAGCCTTTAAACCATTTTTAAGAAAACAGATGAGTCAAAAGTATTAATTGTTATATTAATTTAAATCATTATATCAATAAAATAACATAAATTAGGGGTGTGCAATATTGACAAGAAATTATATCTCGATAATTTTCTGGGATTTTATCAATAACGATAATTAGACAATATTTTGCTATAGAGTGCGTTATTGTGCTGATACATTATCTCTAACTGTGCTTACAGCTGACTCCAGAATTTTTTGATATTCTTCATATGCTGTGTGGTCAGTTCACAGCAGTGAAAGAAATTAATTATTTCCAACAAGTTTTATGGGCATTTTTATCTTTAAGCCATTTTTTCTAAAAGTGTGCACCATCTTTTGAGTCAAATTCTTGCATTTGGGCTGTTACCAAGCAAATGAAATTAGTATCAACAAAATTGATCTTTGCAATGCAGATGAAACACAGAAGCTGCATTAGAAGTGGCTTTTAGATGCATTTACACACGGTTTAATGCAGCTCAGAGGGACATGAATGCATTTAACCTGCAGTTACAAATGCATAAATAATGTTTTGATATTTTAAACATAAAACATTAAAAACAGATGTTTGAAATCATTTTAAAAATGAAAAGGTACCTTAAATGTGAAATTAAAACTGCCAGTAGGTGGCAGCAAGTCACTGTTAAACTGAGTCATTGCGATTGAACCGAATCAATTAAACGGTTGATTCGTTCAGGAACAAAACAGCGTCCTGTTGCTCAGAGACGCAAAACAGCGCTGTGGCTGTGTTTGGAATGATTTTTGTTGGAGAAATAGAGC